TGTAAGGCTGACACAGTTACTGGTACTAATCAGTACTGAGGCCTGTATACTGTAGATTTACCCTGTCTCTCTGGGACAGGGTTCCTGTTCTGCTGTGAAAAAAAATATAGCAGGATCCAGTTTTCATGTGTCAATAAAGCCACTGCCCACTCCTCCAACAGGGTGCTTGCAAAACATGGACATTTGCTAAACAGATGAAATTACCAAGAAAACTTCTGCATCCCCTGAGCAAATTTCCAATCAAAAACAGAACAGAATCCAGGCAACAAAGGGAAAGGAATTGTACTGGAACAAGACTTTTGCAACATTTCATAGAAATTTATTATTATTTCTATAATCAGAAGACATCATTGTATCAATGATTTCACCAGCTTTGAACCAAGCCAACTTATGAAGCAAGTTGTGCTAGAGCAACTTCCATTTAGCAACAGAGGTCTATCTGATACTGCTTTTCTTCTCATGCTTGCAACTCTTCAATTCGTGCAAATCGAAGGCACTAGATACACTGCTTGACCATATTCCTTTACAAAGAAGCAAAAATTGCAAGTAAAGGTCACATTTTATTTCCCAGAAGACAGTTTATTTCAGCAAATTTTATTAAACAAGCATTGTTAACTCAAAAGCTCAGGGACAGACAGGGAACATATGCTAATCAATACGTACTTCTTTATTTTAAATAATAACTCTACAGGACACTGACATCTATTACATATCTGTCTCCTTACTGAATATTTTCCCAGATTTCTAGCCCTTTTACACTAAACGGATACAAATTCCATCAGTACACTGAGGCATTGACTCTTCAAAATCAACTCTTAAAAGGCTTTTTTAAAAATTGCATATTTTTTCTGTGGTTCAAGACTTGTCCTTTAAGACACAACCTACCAAAAAGCAGCTACAAGTTCCGTCTGCAAAAACTGCTGAAAAATTCAGCTGTGGAGAGTTTGCGCCAGGAAAGTTGTGCCAAAAATTACTCAGTCCAGTGGTTTCACCCCCTCAGCCATAGTTAATAATTTCCTATCTAGGCTCAATCAAAGCCTAGAATGAGCTACACAAGCTTATGTATATGCAAGGCCTATTGTGTAAATTATGTATCAAAAAGTTCCAAACTATAAAAAAATAAAATCAGGAAGACGCCTACATAAGAAAACGTTTTTATCTTTCTTAAAGAACTGTATACTACATTATCAATACAAAGGAACACTATAGAAGTGTCTGCATATTTGGATTATGTTAAGCAATATTCATTATTATTATTACTACTACTGAATAACTTCTTCCCTGTGCAGGACAGTAACAGGCTAAATCTCTTCATCTTAACAGTCTAGCTTTTATTAAAAAAAAAAGTAGAACTAATATGCTCCATTAAGAACAGATAGTACAGAGAAATGTTGGGAAATATGCTATATTGGAATCCCCTCTATTATAGGAACAATAGCTCAAGGCAGACGTTATGCACCAAATGCTGAAATCCTAACTGTCACTTTAACAAGACCACAAGTCAGTTGTCTAGTCTCACTGTGCACCTTTGAAAAGGAGTTAACTTCATTTTCTCCATATCCTCCCATTAGGCATTGCTATCTGTAGCCAGGATGTATCATTAGGCTTCTCTTAAGGAAGAAGAAATCCCATTCTTTTAGGATGTATCATTAGGCTTCTCTTCTTAAGGAAGAAGAAATCCCATTCTTTCTGTCTCTCCTTATGTTTCATGGGCTCCACCTCCCTAACCTGGTTATCCTGCTACTCCACTGGGCTCACTCCAGCAAACGAGCTTCATGGGCTCCACCTCCCAAACCTAACCATCCTGCTGCTCGCTCCTCCACTGGGCTCACTCCAGCAAACGAGTGCCTTTCCTTTCCTGGGGAAACTAGAAGCAGACACAGGCTGATGCGGGGCTGCAGCACTCCAGCAGTGGCCTCGCAAGGACTCAGTCAAAGGAATCGCTCCCCTGCACCTGCTGGCAAATTTATTGCTAACAGAGCCCTGGACACAGTTACCTTTGCTGAAAGGGCACACTGCTGACCCGTGTTCAACTTCGTGCTTACCTGGACATGAAGGTCTTTTTCTGGAAAAAGATGCTTTCTGGCTAGTCTGCCTGCCCCCACCTTTAACACCACCTAGGGTTATTCCATCCCAGATGCAGCCTTTTGCATTCATTTTTACTGAATATCATGTGGTCTGTTAGCCCTGCTTTCCAGCCTGCTGGGGTCCCTCAGAACAGCAGCACTAAGCTTCCAGCCCACCAACCACTTTCTCCAGGTGAGCATAACTAGCTGAGAAACATCACACAGCTCTATGAAACAGCATCAGTCTTAGTATCAAACCCTGAGGGACGTTACCAGTAATCCAAAGAGTAATGGAGCAGACACTGTTTCTTACAGATTTGTCACCTGAAGCATCACTATTTTCAGCAAAGGCAATTGCTTTCTTCACTGCCTCACTTTCTCACACACAGCTATTACACTTGCAATACTTGTAATCTGTTCCAGCTTCATTAACGGCCTATGAAGATGAAAAAGAACATTAAGGAGGATTCTTGAAAATATACTTCGGTCAAGATTTGTAATTTTTTTTTGTTCTTTTGGACAAAAGCACAATTAAATGTCAGCCTTTAAAAATGTCAGCTTAACACAGAGCTTCATAATTTAATAAAAGGAAAACTAAACTGAATAACTTTTGGCTTACCACTTTAGCACTATACTATGCATGTTATAGACATAAAATAAAATACACACACACATACATATAAATACAGAGAGGCTAAATTAGAGATCAGTTTAGTAATGACCAGAACACAGCAGTCAATCTTCATACACTACTGCCAGAATTTACTCTTGAGGTACTCTTGTCCCAGTTGCAGCAATTTCTATTAAGTTTTCAGTTTGCATACTGAGATGCTACATGTGCATCTATATCTGTTTCAAAGCCATAAATACTTTTGAAATAAGAGCAGGTAGAAAAAAAAAAAAAAAAAAAAAAAAAGATCAGTGAATTCCTCCTCCATCCTTCTTGCAATGCTCCCAGGCAAATTCCAACAGAGCAGAATAGGCAGCTAAAGCCTGACAAGCAGGCAGAGATACAAGCAGTTTCTGGAACACTGTGAGTCTTACTCCAAGACAGCCATAACAAGGTAAAGTAGTAACTGAAGTGTAGTCTTACAGAAATAGCTACCATAAACACGCATTTCTGGACCACTACTCTACTTGTCTGCAAAAACAGCTTACCTACTTCAGACTTAAACCAGCAATTCAAACATCACCTTGCTCCGCTAAAACAATTCAATCCTCAAAAAATTCAACATCTCATTTCTGGATGAAATAGTTTTTAGAAAAATACAGAAAGAACAACTGCAACAAAAGGAAAATGGGATGCTGCTGCTGAAGGATAACATTGAATTCTTCAAGGAAAAATAACATTTTATAAATTCAAGAATAAAACATTTCCAGGGAAAACAGCACCAGAAAAGACAACTTCATACTCTTTCCTTAAGTCAGGCAGCAAATTTAAACACAAGACACAAAACCTTAAAGTAATAAATAAAATTAGATTTATATTTAGTTTCTGACTAGTCATAAGCTGTACAAAGGTAGTCAGATAATAATTCCCTGTCAAAATATGTCATGAATTTGCGTTCGCAGTTTTCTACACACAGCTTTTCTTTCGATATTTTTTGCATTCAGAAAAAAATAACATGACCAGCATAATGCCAAGTCTTTCTTTTTTTCCTTTGTGGGGGTGACAGGAGAAAGGTTGGAGGAAGAGAAACATTTTGAACTCTTCATATAAAAGGAGAAATACTATTTTCAGCTCCTTGGAATCCATACGACAATGCTATACCATTCCACCTCCACCATACTCACCATCCCTTCAAAAACAAAGGAGATAGTCAAGCGGAGCGATTCAACTCTGCTCCAGCAGCAAAAGCTGCATTAAATGACAACAAACTTCCTTCTCTATCCACTTGGGTTCCATTGACAAGGCCGGATCGCCAGCTAGATTCTGCCTTCACTCTCAAACATTTCAGCTAAGTTCAACATGCAGAAGTCCCACCAAAGGCACCACATTCTACACGAAACGTATTAGATGGCTGCCCCACCAGAACAGCGCAGCTGTTCCAAAACCACCCATCTTCTAAACTAGCATTTTACTTACAGTAAACTGTAAAGTTTACTTTACAGTTCTCTTCCTTAATCTCAAATCAGAAGAATCATAATACACAATGGTGACAGGATACCATTTTTCTTCAGCAAAGACGGAAAATGACTCCCTTTTTGGGTCTTAAGTTGTCAAAGCAGCAGCACAACTTGGTAAGAAACAAGGTTTTCTTTTTGTTCCTGAAGAAGAGATCGCTGTTTACATATCACAGAGTAACTGTCAGCTCAGTTAAAAAAAGAGGGAAACAAGTAATAATCCCAAAGTTCATCAACCACATCATCCCCTCCTGCCACATTGTGATTTGCTGCAAGCCATTTTTTCAATACTATAGATGGTAGTGTCTGGAAGAAGTTTCCTGCATATGGATTTTAAAAGAGAAACACATGCAAATGTTCATTTTAAAACTTGCCTTTGAAGATTTCAGAGGAAATGTGTTTTCTCTGATATGTGCAAAACTTAAAAAATAAGCCAAGAATTTATTAATGATTTAAATTGTCAAAAGATGCAAAAGACCCAAATAATGTACAAGTGTAGCTTAGCTTTTAGAACTGCATTAAAATTCACTTCAATTTAAGAAGTCATACTAGAACCTATTAAGTTTATCCATAGGTATCAACTGGACATCTTCGACCAGAAGCACATCATGGTTTCTGTCCGTATACTCCTTTCACAATACTAAATAACTTGTAAAAATATTTTCTGTTTAAAACTAAACTAACATGCAGAGAAAGAGATTGAGTGAAGATTTAACAAAATGTAAAGTATTAAAAAAAATTATGAGAGCTTGAAAGTTCTGAACATTCCTCCAACAGAACTGAATTACGTAACTTAGCTGATACTGTTACCTGTAATTTTGTATCCATAGGCAGCTAGCTGTCCAGCCATATATTCACCATCTGAATTATTGTGAGAACATCCCCACGTACGAATCCAGATTTTCTGAGCACCAGGAATAATGCTGTTGAGTAAAATGAATTAAGAAGGCAAATGAAAGACAAACAAGCTTTGCCTTTAGGCCCACTGGACAAACCCAATTAATTGTAATTCTTCAGACACATTAATAGTCAATACAAACAGTAATAACCCCAAAACAGCTAGATAAGGAAGATGTTATAATATAGTGGTTAAAAAAAAAAAAAAAAAAAAAAAAGCTTTAGAAGGGGAAGGTACAATGACAGCAGAGTAAGAGAAGAACTCTGTACACTGTAGTTATATATATATATACACACACACGCGCATATAAATACTAAAACTCTAGTTTTCAGAAAATTATGGTATCATTAATAAATGATTTTCATGCGACTACACTGAGACAAAGCTATCTGCAACACAGTGTCAAAGCTAAACCAAAACCTTCTGATATTATTGCACCCCTTCAGTGCTCCCATTGCTCCCTCCTTACATGCATATGTTATAAACCCTTAACAAAAGCCAGTCACCAATGGCAGCAACACCTCAAAGCCCACACTGCGGGGCTACAGAGGCAGCACAGCAGATTTGTACCATTGAACTAGAGGACAGAAGCATCGAAAAACAAGCCAAAAAAAAAAAGGAAGAGTATTTGACAAGGAACTCCCATTGAAACTTTCTGAATAACCAGGCCAACAAGCTAAATATGCCAGTAAAAGAATGCCAAACCTGGCATTTTTTTTTGCCCAGCCCACCTGTTTTTTATTTTAAAGGATATCTGCCCTAGCCAGAAATTAGAATCTGTTGACAGAAGACTAAGACTAGACTGTTAAACAGATGTGTGTAAACATGCAGCATTTAGGTCTTCTCTTGCCTAAATGACACACATTCAGTGCTTTTTTCCTTGGAGGAAAAAACTGTTAAAAAACAGCCAATGCATTTAGGGTCTGTCTTATGAGGAGTCACAGTTCCAATGAAAATAATTCTATGGAGACTTCATAATACAAAAGTTTTTTGCACATAAAAGATCTCTTTTAAATGCCAATGAAACTCCAAATTTGAACGTTTCTGTGCATTCCATACTTTTTTCTCTCCCTCTAATGAGGGAAAATTTTATGTACCAACTTGAAATTAACAGGAAACAAATAAAAAAACAGATCTCTGAAGAACAGTAGAAACCAGAATCAGGCACAGTTCATCTATACTACTTACTCAATTCCACTGCAGCAAGAAGTAGATTATGTTCATCACACACACACACTCTCTCAAAAATGGAACCAGGGAACATTACGGCATATTATTGCCACCAAAGGAAAACAATTATTTCAGAAGAAGTTCACTACAGCACTTTTAGCATGTACTAACAAGAAGTATTGCTTCATTACTGTTGTCAACTCCTTCGCAACTCTCTCCAATTTTTTTCAGGTATTACAAGTTTTGGGCTTAAAGGAAGGAGGGATTTTCAATTTTAAAGATGACAAGAGGATGCTTGTTTTATTTCACCTCTTATTTACGGTGATTATTCTGAATTACAGCAGACCTTTGGTAAAAGACTGAAGCTCAAGTTTACAGTTTGCATAATACCTACCTCCTCCAAGATACCACATTTTAGGCCTTTTCTTAAATTTGGGCTTGAATAAACAGGTAAGTCTCAGAATGAACCTTGTACCCACTTGAAGTGATACAAAGTATCTATTCTCTCTACATTCAAGTTTCCAGTGCAACACAGTTTCAATTTTAATGCTAACAGACTTCATTACTTCCTGGATCCCCTCTCTTCCCAGAGGAAAGAGGGGAGGGGAGAAAAAACAAAAACAAAACAAAAAAAAAAAAAAACACTTTTCAGTATAAATCCACTTCAATAAGTACTGTGGTTCTGGCATCAATATCCTCATTCTCAGAATTTTGTTTTTATTTCTCATCCCACACCTCCAAAAAGGCACTTTGTGACTTGATTTTGAAGAGCTTCCACTTATCTACTAAAGATGAAGCACACAATTTTTCCTAAGTGCTTTACACTTAGGAGATTTTTCTTAAAAGTAACAGAAGCCATTTGTCCAGTCTGATTACTTCATTAATCAATATCAGTCATAAGTTATGTCTAAAAAATGTTTGTCTACAATTTTTTTATTATTTTTATTACTCAGTCATCATTACATTTTCAAAACACTATTTTAGCAATTTTTAACTTCTTTCAGATTTTACATTATGAGGTAATAAGAAGCTCCACCTTGCTTTTAGAAGCTGGTAGCACACAAAAGATTTGAGAAGGAAAGCAAGAACAGGCTGATGGAAGAATTTACCTGTCACTTGGGGGATCATCATCTGTCTGAGTATTTTTGTGTGAGCTGCGTTTTCGCACTTTTGGAAAAATATTCTTTCTCACAGACTGCCGCTCATGTGGTTTCAAGTCTTGTGCAGACACAATATCTTCAATATCTTCAAGCACTGGCTCACAGGCAGCAGGCATCCTGAAGAAGCATTAGAAAAGACTGATGTTAGCAAGCACTGGAATAATCAGATACAACTCAGAATCAAGCATGTTTCTACATATACCTGCAGTATATCATACACAGGAGGAACATGCAGCATATAGAGACACACAACTGTCTACAGTATTTCCTAATAGTCTCTCTCTCCCTAAGATCCCTCAAACACAGAGAGAGGGCTACAAATCCTACAGATTTTTTCAGCTCATCTGCATCTTGCCAGCCTCCAATGGGGAGATCCTGTGGCTTCTCTGGCACCACACACTGAAGATACAAGTCTTCTTTATCTTAAAAAGGCATTGTAGTGAAATAGTAAGTTTACGTTATGAGATGGATATAATACTAGTTACATTTCAGGAGAAAAATGGGAAATAGAGCATTCAAGAGCCTACACTGGAGGCTGCACAGCTCTTTTATCTATGTGCCTGAAACGGATACAGAGGAGGTCACTGTGCCAAAGTCCATATGAACACAAAATATACTATTCCTAGAATTCCTGAAGCCACAGTACTTGCGTGTTATTTCATCCACCAGGACAGCAAAATCAGAATTTCTATACTTGGGTACAAAATATTAAATGACTATACCTAGCTAGTACTGCCATCTAGTTAATGTACCATACAAGAAGAACATTCAAACCCAATCCTGCTTTCCTGAGGAGGACAAGTAGGAACTTGGATGTATTTTTCCTCATCTGTAAAGACTTACCTTTATTCTCACACATACACACCCCAACATAGACAACCCACGTACAGCAATATACAGACCTCCTCCCCCCCACAACCACCCCTATGTGCACAGACATAGGCCCGCACCCACATGCCAAACCCATCGCCTAAAAACTCACCCCCTGCACACTCTCAACTACAGGCCCACGTACCTTTGTACACAGACACTCAAATTCACATCCCACTACACCCCTACCCAGCCATGTCCATACATATCTACAGGACACACGTACACACCTACTCTCTCACAGGCATGCTCCAACAGGAAGCATGGGCACCCTCTTGTAAACTCTCCTGCCACACTGTGGAAGAATTGTTTGTAGAAGAATTGTTTGAAAGCAGGAACTGAGAGGAAAACTAGGGCCTAACCAAAGTTTTGGCATTACAGAAGCTTGCTCGGGGTGATACACAGTTGTCACTCCCAGGATGGTTGATATGCACAGACTCAGCTCCTCCACAGTTCCCTGGGCAACATAATCTGCCCTCCTGGCAGCTGCAAAGGAGAGTAACAGAGGATGGAGTGGAGTGAAGACACCACGGCCAAACTTTGTGGCACTCCCTGTGCTGGGCTGCTGATAAGCTGCACAGTAGCTGCCTAATGGGAGATATACAACAACATGCCCAGTGTTGAGCCAGCAAGGGTGGCAAATCACTCCTTTCGGATGAACTTTACTTGAACTTTGCTCATTATAATGTCAAAACCACACCTCCATCCCAAAGCTACCCACCTCCAAAGTAATGACCACTCCTCACTGAGCATGCACTCTAGATTTGCGGTTGACTGTACCTTTAAATGACAGCGAGAAACCTTTTCACCAATCAATAACAATATTAAGTATGACTCTAGTCACTCAAGCTCCACCTGAATGTAAAGAAAAGTATAAAAGGCTGAGCTCTCTTCCCTCCCCTCAGGTCGGGACGCTGCCTGAGGAGACTAAGAAGTGAGGAGGGAAGAATCCATCATAACTCTTGGGTCAGTTGACGGGCTGATCCCCCTTGCCTCCCCTCAGACTGGAACGCCACCTGAGAAGACTCGAGACTGAGAGCCCTCTCTCATCTTCTGGGTGAGTGATGATTGCACATTCGTACATCAGAGCTAGCGAAAAAGCCCACGCTGTAGTAGAGAATTTCCTATATTGACATCCGAAACCTGCTTTGTAAATGTTGCATTTGAATAAATCGTACTGTTTGTGAACTTGACTACTTGTCCGGGGGAATGTGATTGGACCTACAGTTGACGGACTGTTCGTGAATCCGATACTGCCAGAGTCAAACTTATAGTTGATCATACTATTTGGGAACTCGATTCGCTCCTAGGAAGGCGATCAGACCTACAGTCCATAGACTGTTTGTGAATCCAATACTGATTTGATATCTCCTTTCCTCCCGTCGCCACCACTACTACGGCCTTCAAACTGCAACATTTCACAACACAGTACCCACAAACACACGAGCACACTACCCCCATACAGCAAGCCACATCCTCACCTGCCTCTACAACCCCCCACCTACACATACCTATGACCTTCGCACACCCTCAGCCCACCTTTACCCAAAAGCACAGGCACTCACACATCCCCCATGCATCCAGACACTGACACCCATGCAGCCTCACACACTCACCCTGCACACACCAACACACACACAGAAACTCGCACACACACCCCATACAGACACATGCCCACTAAACACCCCCACAGGCGTGTGCACCCCCACACGTGTCATTGCGAACTTGTTTCAGAATATAGCTCAGGGTAAACAAGTTTACCTGGGAAATCATTCAAAAACATTTCTCTAAGTTTAGAGAGACAAAAAAAATTTACTATTCTAGCTTAACATGAAGAACAAAACAAATACGATCTTAATTTCTTTAAGGGTCATACTTCAGGAACAGGCAATTCATGCTGCTAGCCTACAATATACATTCAGATGTTGCACTTGAAATATTTAAAAATGTAAGAAGTCAAACACATTTCATTCCTCCAGTATGAATGCCTCTGACGATTTTGCAAAATATGCATCAACATAAGACTTCAGACAACTTGATATATGTATATATGTCTTATTTTTTTATATATATAAAAAACTATAAAATGATGTGAAAAAACAGGCGTTTTTGACATTAAAATATTTAAGTATTTAGTTTTCTTCTAGATAAAAAAAACCTTGAGATCCTAAAAAACATAGCAAAGAATGAACAAAGAAAGCTCCTAGAAGTCTAGTCATAAAGAAGCTGAAATATTGGAATAAGTAGTTACTGTAGAAGTTCACACACAAGAAATCCCAACTACAACAGTGCAGAAATTTAATGACCTAATGTTATTCAGTCTTTTGTGTTACAGTTGTCATTAAAAACAGGCATTTAGCTGAAGGAAACAGCTATTATTTTGAGCTATAAGAAAGAATGTTTTCCAGGACAGAAGTTTAACAAAACCACCCCCCCACACACAAAAAAACTTTGTAAGAGAGGGTACTATAAAGGCTTCAGCTGTGGTAAAAACAATATAGATTAAGAATTTGAATGCTATATTTAATCAATTTGAGGGGGTACGTTATATATGACAAACGCTGAAGAAGAGTACAACTTAATTTTGACAGACAGCAGCCTCAACATTGAATTTCTTTGATTTTGATATTTAAGACTTTAAAAGTCTTACTTGACTCTTAAAACAAGCAGAACTGTTTTAAGAAGGATTTGAAATAAACATTTCCTTTTAAAGACTATTTCCTCTATGGTGCAGTCTTTTTTACATCTGAAAATTCACAATAATTTCCATTTCTGGGCATACAGAGAGTCATTTTTCAATTTCAGGCAAACATACACACTTCCAGTCCTTACACGAGGCTCATTTAACCAAACTATTACCAGCATTGCACTCCCTAAATAAATTAGGAAATTATTTTGCTGGGTAGATGATCCCCACAGCAGCAAAACAATCCATCACATAACATAATTTGTACAAGTGAGAGGAAAAAAAAAAAAGAAAAAAGAGAAGGAAAAGCAGGTGGAGAGGGAAATAAAAAAAGGAAAGCACAACAGCAAAGCTAAAGAATTTGGAATCCCAAAAATCTGAATTAAGATCTCATTTTCTTCTTACTGGTTCACAGTGTAAAAATGACATATGAACTCGCTCTACAAACTAAGCGAGGTTTTGGTTGGTGGTGTTATTGTTTCGCTTTTTTTGGGAAACATATCTGACATAGTGAAGAAAATAGCAAAATAGGCAAGCTACATTGATTGCAGTGCCCCATAAAAGAAAAAGCACAAACCAGAAGCCATACCTTTTTGTGTGTGGCTTAAATCCTCTCAGGCAATGACTCTGGAAAAAGAAAACATGGCATGAACAAACAGAAGTAGCAGACAGACTGTCCTGCAAGTGTTCTTCATTCTTTTGCAGAAATCTCAGTTTTCTACTTTGGCCTGCATGAAACCTCCAGACAATGCTACACACACAGTGACTTGCTGGCAAGGCTGAACACTAGCCAAATATCTCCTATCCATTCCTGAGCAGATGGACTGAGTCTCCTTCCTTAACAGTCACATTTTTTCTCTCTCTCTCCCCCCCCCCCTTTTTTTTTTTTTTTTTTTTTATTTAAATTACTTGAGACTTATCTTCTTCCAGATTTCAAAATCTTCCATCAGGATTTTACAATTTCTAACAAAGCAAAAAGAATGACCGACAATACAACCGAGGAAACAACTGCCTAGGCTTCCTTTTCTGGAAAAGCCTAAGTAACAGTAAGAACTTCCTAAACTTTCAAAACATTTTCTACAAGCACCATATTGTCTTCTTAGAAGATGTAACACACAGAAATACTGCATATAGGAAGTTACATACGAGATCCCATCTTCACTAGCGGGCACATACAGACTCCAGTACATACTCTAACTTAAGTACCTGGACTTTAAGACTGAAAGAGGAGAGGCAAAGGGCAAGTTCAGTTAACTCATTCACTGCACTTATGCTGTCAAGCTTTTACCCACAGAACCTTACGCTCCTAGTTCAAATAACAAAGAAGTATTTTGGTAAATAAAAAGCACTGACGGTGTCTCCACGGAAAGGAAACGCTTCGTGCCCCAGGCTGCGCCACCCCTCTCTCCCTGACCTCCTCACGCGGAGCAACAGGGCCCCGCTTCGCCCCAGAAGGCTCCCGTGCGAGGGAGAGCGCTGCACGGGAGCCCTGCGCAGCAGCCTCCGCCTCACAGCGCACAGGAAGACCCCGGCGCTAAAGCGAAACCCTCCGTCTCGGGA